GCCCTGCGCCCGGCCCGGCCCCCGCCTTAGGGATGGCAAACTTGCGCCCCGTGGCCGCCTCAGCCAGCGCCGGCCCCCGCTCCTGCTGCTGACGGCGCCCAGGTAAGTGTTCAGCCCCAGACCCCGACCCAGCCCCGCGCCAGCCCCGCGCCGAGCCCTCCCCGCGCGGTCGCGAGTTTCCGCACCGGCCCGCACTCGAGACGCTCTCCGAGCCCAGCTCCGCTGTTCTCCCCCAGCCCGAACTGAGTGGGTCCAGCGCTCACCCACCCTTGTCTTTTTGGGAACTCCCAAGCCTGGGTCCAAGGCCCCCTCCGTCTCTGATGAGCCCCTTCCGGCGCCCCCGCCCCCCGCGCCTGGACCGACCCTCTTACCATCTGTGATAAAGTCCCCCATCTTTAGAATCCTGACCTAGACCGTCCCCAAATCGCTGTCTCCAGTCTTTCCCAGTCTCGGCCCGGATCTGGCAGTGCCCCCGCCCGCCATAGAGAGCCCTTCTCGCCAACCTGCAGCTCGACTGTGTCTCCCCTGCTTGTCTGAGCGCCGGACCCTTGGTCCTCTCCTCCACTCTGCCTGAGTCTTCCCCATCTCTATCCGTGTCTATTACTGCCCTCCCCAACGCCTGTACCCCGACCATGTGTCCCCTCTGTATCTGCCCCAAGTGCCCTCCTCCCCCATATCTGCCCCAGAGTCCCGCCTTCCCTCGCCAATCTCTGCTGCAAGTCCCCTCCCCCCCGAGCCTAGAATTTGGGCCGTGTCCCCCATGTCTTCCCCAAGCCCCCTCCCTCTGGCCGAGATCTCGACTGGACCCGCATCCCTGCTCCCGTGTTCATCTCTGGCCGGATCACTCATCCTCTCCTCCCACCACTGGGCATGGAGCCGGGCACCAGGCGCACCCTCCTGCAGCCCCAAGCGCCGGGCATGATTTGGGGGGTGGGAGGCTGTGAAGTTGGCGGCCACTCCCGCAGTCGCCTCGGCCGGAGGGCACAGCGACGGGTGGTCCTCCGCGCCGCGACCGGTGCAGAGCGGGCGGGCGGTGGGTCTGTCGCCCGCGGGGGGAGGGGCGCCCAGGCCGAGAGATGCCGCCCGCCTGCTCGCCTTGCCAGCTGCCTGCCGGGCCCCTGGGCATCCTCTGGCGCCCCCTGCCCGCAGCCCGGGACCGCCGCCCCTTTTCCCGCGGGCAACCCCGGGTTTCCGCAGCCCGAACACTAGCGATGGCTGCAGGACTGGCTCTGGGAAGTCCCTGGGGAGAGGAGGTGGGTGGGCAAGGCCAGGTGCCCCTTCGTGCTAGCCTGACCAGACACTCCGTGTTTTCAGGCTCTATAATCCAGGGTTGAGGCAGGATGGAGGGCTCATCCTCAGAGCAAGTCAGGAGCCCTTTGAGCAGCAGACACGGAGTAGCTGGACTGGCCCCTTGGCTTCAGGGCGCATTGTTGGGTTTGTTTGGGCTTAGGCAGGTGTCCCCAGGGAGCCTCCGTCTGTCTACCCCGACCCTCTCCTGAGGGGAGTAGGGCAAAGGTGGGTTCTGTCTGGCTTTTGCATGGAGTAAGCTGAGGGAGAATCCACCTGATCCAGGGACAGAACAGGCACCTGGGGAGTACCCCCTGCACTGCACAGGGTCGAGGGTCAGTGTGGACACTGCACAGGGTGTGCCCTAGTGATGGTGGTGGGGAGGTGAGGGGCCAAGGCTGACAGAAGAGATCTTCCCTCTTTTTCTTCTCAGCCTGTTCTCCTGGTCTTCCTCCCTTGTTCTAGCCCCTCCCCTACCACTACTCAGAAGGGGACAAACCTAGTGTGTGTGTGGGGGGGTGCATGGTGGGTATTTCTATAACACAAAGGGAGGTTCCAGCCGGTCTGCTTCCTTCCTTCTCTGTTAGCCTCCAGATACTGAAGGTGAAATAGTAGTTGGGAACTCAGCTGTTGGCCTAGTGACCTGGGTTCGAAAGCTGTGTGACCTGGACAAGCTACTTAACCTTTCTGAGCCTCATCTGACCCTCTGTAAAATGATCACTGCCTCAGATAGTTGTTGGGAGAATGAAATGAGATGGTGCTATCATGTCTGGCACCTACCAATGCTCAGTAACCATAGGTGGGTTGTGCTGTTTCTCTTCAAAGCCAAGGTCAGGCCCCTCTCCACTCCACTCCTAATCCCACAGAAGACGTGCAAACAATACAGGTTCTAGTGGCTTCACTCCAACCTCCAGGATAATAAAGACAGAAAATATCTTCAGCTCTGCCCGCTCCCATGGGTCCAGGGAGCCTGTGACTGTCAGTTTCCCCCGCCCCTCACTGGTTCTGCAGTATCCCACTGTGCCTCTTAGGATCAGCTCTGACCACAGGGTCAACCGTGAGCGCCAGGTGAAGATCTCTGAGGTCTAGGTGCAGGTGGAGAGTCTGGGGAGGTGGGGTCAGTACAGAGAAGAAAACCAAACCACCGGCCCCAAAGGCAGGCTGCTGCCAGAGGGCAGGGCGTGGGAAATCAGCCACTGTGAGGGACAGGGGAGCGTCTACCTCTCCTGGAGGCCAGGTACCATCAGGAGCTTTCCAGGGCAGTTAGTGCTGCAGGTCAGAGTTAGGGACACCTAGCTTATGAGCCCAGCGAGTCTGAAAAACCTGACTTTGGCTCCAGTGGCTCAGTGAAGGGAGGTGGAGGAAGGCAGGGAAGGGGCGCCAACCCGTGGGGTTCTGCATGACTGGAAGTGCTCTGGAAGGTCTGGGTCTCACTGAGGAAAGGCAGCCTCCCAGCCACCAGCTCGCCACTGGGGCATCTCTGACACTGGGGAACAAAAGCTTTCAGTTCCTGTAGCAACGGTGGCTCCAGCTGCTGCAAAGTTCCGGGGAGGCTGGTGGAGGGTGGCTGAGTCACGACCCCCTCCCCTGTTGCCTGGGACATCCCCGGGGGCCAGAGGCCACCACTGGTACCCTTTGGGTCCTGCCTACCTTTGCCTCCTTAGGGTTCCCAGCCTCGAAGCCTCCTTTTCTGACAGAGACCACCCCACCCCCACCCCCCCGCAACGAGAGTCACCGATCCACGCTTTGGCCCACTCAGAAAGAGAGAGGGCCGCATGCGGTGGGCTGGGAGGGAGCGCCCGCCCCCTGGGTCCCACCCACCAACTCCAAAGCAAGATGGAGTGCGTACACCTCTCCTAGATGCCAGAGGTTGGGGAGTGGGGTCCCCGAGGACCCTGATCCCCGTCACTGCATGGACAGGAAACCTGGAGGCCCCAAGTGAGGGCCCCTGCCTTCATAGCTTCAGGGGCTCGGCGGGCAGCAAGCGCCCGGGAGGCGGAGGGTGAGTGACAGGCGAGGGAATTGGAGCTGCCAGGTGGATAAACGCAAGGGATGTGCGCGTTGCAGCGCCCTCTCCCCTTCTCAGCGCTCCTCCCCGCAACACCCTCCTCTCCCCAGTGACCCTGCTCACTGTTGGTAAGGCAGACAGAAGTCAATCTGCGCAGGGGGGGATCCCAGAGATAACTCTGGCCCTGGGCCCCACCCCCACCCCACCTAGCTTTGCCTTGGCCTTTCTAGCTGCTGTGAAAGCCTAGGATGCCTTTCTCCCTGCAGAAGCTGAGCCTGAGCTGGGCAGGCCTGTGGGGTCTGACAGGAAGGGGACCTGCAAGTACCTGAGCAGAGAGGGATTAACTGGGCTTGCTGGGGAGAGGGCCTCAGGCTGAGTACAGGGTCCCCGAGACAAGGTTGCTTCAGGCAGTTCCCCGCCGGGTTCAGCGCAGAGGGGTCCTGGGGAAAGAGCCCTTTTGGTACTCTCCGTCAGCCTCCTCTGACCCAGGAATTCTTCCTTAGCCCTGTCCTCTGCTGTCTCTAGCTCTGGTGCAGTGGAGGGGTTTGTGGTTCAGAGGAGACAAAACCACTCTTATCACTCAGCCCAAAGAGTCTTCCCAGAGGCACTGACTTGGACCTCATCATGCCTGAGGGGAGCTTTTGTGAGGTCCTGAGAAAAGGGAGGGGACATGACAGCTTGCAGTGGACCTGGCTCTGTGCTGGAAAGTCGTCTAGAGAGAAGTGTATGCCATCATGGGGTAGGAGTCATGGTCTTCATTCCACAGACAGGGAAACAGGCTTGGGGTGATTCCTTGTGGCTAGTAACTACTGCAGCTGCCTGTAAGGCAAAGATCCTTCTAAGTCCCCTTCTAGGGGATAGCTCAGGGAGAGGGCTCTGGGTCAGGATAAGCCCTGGCCACACACGCCCAAGAGAGCCTTTAATGAATCAATGGCTCCCTGTGACCCAACTTGGAATGGGATCTTTGCCTTATTTTGAGGGATGAGAAGTGACATGAAGAGGGATTCCCAAAAGGAATATGTTGCAGCAGGAGCAATGAGGGGCATACAGACCTAGGGTGAAATGCCAGAAAGCGTATGAGAGTGTCAGAAGGAGCCTGAATGGATGAGGGAGTTTGGATAGCAGTTATACGTGACTCAGTTCTGGAGAAGCCAGGCTGAAGTTCTGAATGATGTAGACC